ATGAAATGTCATTATGTGGTTGTGTTTTCCAATTTTGGATTATTTTATGCAAAAGAACGTTAAAACAATTATAGTCAAATGAGAATTGTGGGATGTTGATTGTAAGATATATAAAGATTTTTGATTTAAAATATATAATGTGATATGAATTATAAGTAATGACTGTAGAAGAGATGCACGAAAGTTATTTGTAACCAATCGACACTCTGCTACAATATGTAACGAAAGATGATTTTTTGTGTGTTGTGTTTGTCTGTTTAACCAAAAATAAAAAATTCTTTTCAAAAAAATAAAAAAAATAAAAAATAGGTAGGAGACCACAGTGGTTAGAGTGCAGTATTGTAAGCAAACTGCCAACTGCCTGGAGTTCAATCCTGATGGAGCTCAATCTTTCATTCCCAGGTCAGTAAAATGAGGATCCAGATAGTTGAGGGCAATATGCTGACAATGTAAACTACAAAAAGTGTTGTATAGCACTGTGGGAGCAGTATATAAGTCTACATCTCAGTAGTTGTAGAAACTCAGGAGAAAATGGCTCCAAGGCAGCCACTAAATGACATTGCTATTGCTAAATAAATAAGGATACTATATGGTTGCTTGCTGGCCAGTTGATACACTGTAGACAAGGGGTCTCCAAACTTGGCAACTTTAAGAATTGTGGACTTTAATTCCCAGAATTCCTCAGCCAGCCATGCTGGCTGGGGAATTCTGGCAGTTGAAGTCCACAACTCTTAAAGTTGCCAAGCTTGGAGATCCCTGCTGTAGACGGAAGTACTCACCAAGTGGTGTCCCCAGAGCTAGTTACAATATTATTGTCATCCAGGAATCGGCAGCAGGAGAGGTAACCTGCAGAGCAGGAGTAAGAGAAGAGGAATATTGTTGAAGGGAAGAAAGAGGCTAAGACTTATACAGGACACATTTTATTATCTCTTCCAGAGGTATTTTGTTTTTTGTCAACAGAAGCTGAATTTGCAGCACATAATTATGTGGCTCAACAAATGAGAAATTTTGGCTTGGACCTTATTATCAGGGGAGGGCTTATTGTTCATGAACTGGAACTCTATCTCATGCTTCAAAACATAGATGAAGAAAGGGGAGAAAACTTGGCAGAAACAATGAGAGTATTTTTGGCAGAAGCACCANTCTGAAATGTCTGTGTTTGGAAAATAAAGTCTCTTTAGCATGAGATTGTGGTTCCTGGCTGCATTATTTTAATTATTTTAAAACTTTTGCCACAGTTAGAAAAAAATACCCCTGAGTGTGGCTAAAACCTTTTTTCCAGAAGCTAATATTGAGTGTGGAATCCACAGACGTCAACATGGCTGGCTGAGGAATTCTGGGAGTTGAAGTCCACAAGTCTTAAAATTGCCAAATTTGGAGAGCCCTGGTAGAAGAACAGAATGGGGGGGAAGGGTGTTTGTGAGAAAATGTGGAAACGGTTAGCTGACATGCCTCACTGACCAAAGTGAGGAATTAGTGAATAAATATCTTATTTGCTTTCAGTTTCTGGGTAGTAGAATAAATAGTACCTTTTTGTTACTTGGGGTTATGGGAGCCAGAGCAATATGGAATATGCTCCAGATCCCATGATAGCAATATACAGGGCAATCATATATGAGGGGGAAGAGCTTGTGTTTAAGTTGTAACATATACATTGATGTAATTCAAGCAGTCCTCGGCTTACTATCTTTTGCTCAAAGTTACAACACCCTCAGAAAAAATGACTTCAGTTACTCAAAGTTACAACCATTGCACCACCCGTGGTCACATGATTGCAATTTGGGCACTTAGCTCTCATTTGTGATGGTTGCAGTGTCTTGCAGTCAGTGATCAGAGTTTGCCTTCCCAACCAGCTTCTGACATGCAGAGTCAATTGGGGAGGCCATGTTCACTTAATGATGCATTGAATCACCTAACAACTATGGTAAAAATGATTGTAATATCAGTCTGGTCACATGATGATTTGCTTAGCAATTACGTTGCTTGATGACTGAAATTCCAGTCTCAATTGTAGTCATAAGTTGAGGACTGCCTGTATGATGAAGCAAAAACAGGATATATATATCTTTCAAGTAGAAGAAGTGAATGTATTTTTAATGCTTCCTTTAACCTTTTCTAAAGGAAAGCCTAGATCTTAGAGGTTTGTGTGTTTATTGCTTTCTGAGCTAATGACAAGATCTTGCATCCTGCAATTTATAAAAAGCTGAGACTCAGTAACTTTTGAATACCAAAGACACTGGCCAATCATCTCAAGTTCTCTGAACAAATGCTGTATTTTCATTCAAACTAAGGGATATGCTTTGTAGTTCATATCCTTGGATGCATGGAGTTTCAAATATCGCACAATGTGTGGAGTGACTATTAGGAGACACTGTCTATTGCAATGTTTTTTTCCCTTCGTGGAGTTGGAGTGAGTGTAGTCTGCGTGTGACACATTCAGCCCATAGTGACACCTCTTTGTGGGAATCTATAAATGAAGCCCATAAATTAAATATTTTTTTAAAAAAAGAATGGCCAAACTCTATCAATCACGAGATTTCAATGTTTTTCATCTTATTAAGTGTAAGAGTAAGATCTCATAAGATTTGGCCATATTTTTAAAAATTAAGAAATAGCTTTGTTTCAGATGCTGCTGTGAAAGATTGCTTGGAAATGCTGATGATCATGTCATAGAGTGTTCTGTGAATCCATTCTGTTGGTTTCAGGCTATAACCATCAAAGATTAATAGTTCTGTTTCAAAGGAAACTAAACTGCTGTCTCTAAAACTTCTTACTGCCCAGAGAAAAGCAGGTATCTTAAGATATATCTTCATCTGCTCTTAGAATGATCTGATTCTCTAATGCCATGCCATGGTGATATATGAGAGAGATTCTGAAAAGGCAGGATTGTGAGAAGGAGCAGGAAGAAAGCCATAAGATCTAACAGATGTTAGAATCTTATAAACAGTAGTTTGGTCCAGGCTAAAGCTGAGGAAGAAAAGTCAAAATGTTCGAAGAAGTTAATATCAAATGGGTTTACTTATAAATGATAGCAGGAGGTTCCTATTGCAATTTCTAAGGTTCTGTATTTTATCCCTAATTAAAATACAGTGTTAATAATGCAATACAATACAGAGCTTAATGATATTAATGTTCTGAATTCTGACTCTTCTGAACAATTCTGTCAGAGCCTGAGCTCCAGAACACAGCTTCAAATAATGCAACTTGAGCCATTCTGTCCAATGTTTCAGTTTTATTTTGCCTGGGCTATAAAACAACTTTATAATAATGACATCATAAAGCAGTGACTTGGATGAGCCTAAAGGATGCTGGAATGCTAAGTTTGCAAGATATGGAATTAAGTGAGATGAGAAAAATAACTATACACAGATAATACATTAAACATTCCTGGCTCCGGTGCTCAAAGCAGGAGCAACAAACTCCTTCCCAGGCAATGTGTAGAGTAAAACAATGAGCTAATATATTTCTCCAAGAGAAGAGTGAATAAAGTTCATTGCTGAATACTTGCTGTGATAAACCACTTGAAGACACGTCCAAAGACAAACTATAATTGGATGTGTGTGAAGTCTTTGTAGTCATAACATGGAAAATCAAAAGTTGAGGGATGGGGAATAAGGGATTCATTTAGAAGTTTCTTGATCTCTAATTTGGGTAGAGTGAGTAGGAACTGCTAACTTCCTGATGTCACACCTGGAGGCAGTCACAGAAATGGACACCTGAGTTTGGGGAAGGTTTCAAAGAGTATCAGAAGACTTGACCTGGGTGGATTCTTTCCCTGAGCTTCTCCTTAGGGAGGTAAGTGTAGTATGAACCAATATCTGCATAGAATAAAAATGTCAGCTGTGGTACTCAAAGGTACATCTGAAAAAGCCTCTCCAAATTCACTCTTCTTTTCACACAGTATCTTCAGTTCCAAATTTTCAGGAAACTGTCCCAAGAGCCAGTTGCGGCAGCCATGCCATCTGCAGTTACTCCCAAACAGCTCACCCTATTATCATGTCCAGACAGAAGGCCTGTGGGTTTAAATAATAATTAGTTTTGGAGGAAAATTATTTTGCCTGAACTCAGCAGATCTCTGAGCAGAGTTCCAAATTTTGGATAACACAGGTGGCCCTCACTTGTCATTCACCTCCCCTCTGATGGCGGAGTTATCTAGAAGAAAGGTTCCACACAGACAAGGAATGTATGCAGTATAACTCATCTTTCATTCTTGATAAGTGAGAGACGAACAATATGCAACCTACCAACACCCCCAACAACCAATAGATTGGGTGGAACTGAGCTGTGCTATTCACAGCTTGAAGGTTAAAGAGTGATCAGGAAAAAGGAACAGTTTCATGCAACACATTTGATTTTGCTCAGTCTTCCATTCTTCTAATTTTAGATTATATTAGGTCATGATTTTTTATTTTAAAAAATGCCTGTCCCCAAATGGATATGCATTACTTGCACATTTTTCTGTGAAGGTAAAAAAAGCGAGAAAAAAACTCAGAACTGTAGCTGTGACTCACCCACACGCTCTGCTTTCAGACTATCCCAGATATTGCAATTAAAATCATCATATCCAGCCAGGAGGAGGCGCCCGCTACGGGAGAAAGCGATTGAGGTAATTCCACACATAATGGTCTCGTGAGCAAAGTTGATGAGCTCTTGGTCTGCCCGAAGGTCAAAGAGGCGACAGGAGGCATCATCTGAACCAGTGCAAATGGCGTCCCCACTGGGGAAGAACTAGGGGAGGGGGGGAAGGGAGGGGCAAGATGGAGGGAGGGAGAGAGATCATTTGCTTCTGTTGTCTTCTGCAGGTTATTTCTGCCCTAATCTTTGACATTGTTTCAGGTTCCAGCTCATTTCCACCCTCAGTTCCAGGAAGGGCTTCAGAAACTTACTGAAATGGCATTGATATCTGATTCATGGCCTGTAAATGTCTGGCGGCAAGCGGCTTCTCGGATGTCCCACAGCTTGGCACTGGCATCACAGGCTCCTGAAATGAAAAGCTTGAAGTCCGGAGAGACTGCTAGGCTCATGCAGTCCCCAGTGTGTCCTATGAATGTGGTCTTCTCCTGCCCTGTCTCAACATCCCACAGCATGCTGTAAGAAGAAGAAGTTGCTTAGTGGCTATTTCAATCACCTTCCTATTTGGTACAGGCTTGGAATACTTACAGATCTAGGCAGCTGTATTTAAAAGTAATCTAACAATAAAATTGCTATAAACTCATTCATTCATTCATTTGTATCTGCTTTTATAATTTTTACAAATAACTCAAGATGGCAAACATATCCAGCATATCTTCCCCCTTCTATTTTTCCCACATTTAAATATGTGAACAGCCTCCTAATTGCAGGTCCTCCTGTTATGCAATTTGGTCATTTTGATGTAAAGTTAGATTCAGTCAAAGATCTCTTAATTACTTCTTCCCCATTGGAAGAGCAACCAGAGACAGTGCCAAATGGGAGTGAGCAACTGAGAAACAGAATAACTCAATAGATTGTGGAACCTAGCAGAGCTAAACATTCTTCACCAGTTTTTCCTTTTCATGCAGCAAAATTCAGCAGATTTTTCTCACAAATGGGGCCTAGGTTGGATGTCTCCTTGGCGGATTGTCTAGAAGGGGATGACATAAAAAGGAAGTAGCAGTGGCAGAGTTAGTGGTCCGAGTTTGATGAAAACAGCTATTCCCATTGATCCCCTAGGATCAAATAGAGTTGACATCATACAATGAGTATGCAAACAACACTTATGAAGAAAGTCCAGCCCCAGGCTGATGAAGTTGGGACGGCTCTGGAACGGAAGGGAAGCAGAAAGAGAAAGTGTGGCCATCTGGTGAGGAAACTTTATTGTTTTGGAAAAGACTGCCTCCCCCCCAAATTTTCAAGTTAAATTAAATCCGAAAGCAGAAGAAAATAAGCGGCGAGATTAACCTATATTGGATTGCTTTGGATAGTGTGTTTAATTTTACTTTGTGGATTGAAGTGCTCGCAACTTTTTTTTTTTAAGAGAATGGATCAGTTTTTCTTCTATTTTTTTATTTTTTATTTTTTAACCTATGGATTAAAGTCTTCNGCTGATTGCAGCAGTAGCCGGAGGCACAGGCACAGGGAAAAGGCACGTAGACCAGCTTGCTAGATGCACCAGGCAACCACCTGCCCTGTCCCAGCTACATGGGATGGAGGAGGTATGTCTGGTAGTCCGCATCATGTTCCTCCCGCCACCCAATTTTGTCTTCTGCTGGTGCCGCTGCTGCGCCTGCTTTTTGGAGAGCCAGCTGTGGAGCCCCTGGTGCCGGACACCTCCCCCCCCCATGCAGACATACCTGAAATGCTGGTAAGTGTGGCCATCCTGGAAACAGTAAGGGGCTGGCTCATATCGCTTTGGCCCAACCCAGCCCAGCCAGCCCAGTCCAGCAGGCCCACCTCCTGTGTGCATTCACATCTGCCGGTATGGTGTGGGCTGGGCCGGTGCATGGGTGCGCCCACTGCCTCCTGTGCGCATGGACCCCCACCAGATTGGGATGAGATGGGCCAAAGTGATGCTGGTTGGCCCCTTACCATTTCCAGGGCAGCCCATGGGCCTTTAGTTTGAAACCCCTGGTCTAGAAAGTAGGCTCAAAGGCAAAATGCTAGCAGTCACTTTTAATTCCTATCATTGCTTGCAAACAGATTGTGGAGATATCATCTATTTGCTTAAGTATCTTATAAGTATAATCTTTATTGTCACTGTACTTAAATACAACGAAATTGGTTATCTCTTACCTTGTTGGTTGTATAAGTATCCCATACAATGAGTTTTCCATCTTGTGAAGCACTGACCAGAAGTCTATAAGAGAAGAAAGGTGTTATAATTTGGATCAATTGGGATCTGAAGGTTAAAATGCATCAGGTCACCTCTCCACTACCCAACTTTCTCATACAATGCACCTTCAAGGTGATTTTGTTCTCCATCTTATAGCAAAGTATTCATAGCCAAGGGAAAGGGAAGGTACAAGTATGTGTGGGAGGGAGATAACATGTATGGTTCAGAATACAGAATTATGCATTATGCTGCTATTTCTATTGTATGATAACTGTTCTGATCCCCTTCGTCCTACACCAAAGCACGCCGAGACAAAGATACAAAGGATTTATTAACATACAGATTAGACCTTGGCAGCAATCCAGCACAGACTAACCTTGGCAGCAGTCCAGCCTGCCAAGCTAGCCACGAGAGTTCTCCAGTTCTAGTAAATATATTGACTCCTGCGACGAGCGTGTGGAAAATCATTCCTTTTATAGTCTTGAGAAGAGCATAATTACCACCAGCTGAGTTCAATTATCTCCTGTAACTGCGTAACTTTCTTTACGCCTATTAGCCCTCTGTTGCCCGGCATCCAGGACCAACTCCCTTGTCTCCTCCCCACTGCTCCAATGCATGACGTCAGGATCACACTCCCTTTTCTCCCCACTGCTTCAAGGCTCAGGCGCCTCCTGGTGGCCAACCAGCCTCTCTGCGCCCTGCTCGGAGTCAGAACCCTGTCCAGGGTCCTCCACATCCTCCAGAGCCG